CAGTTAGCTCAGTTAGCTCAGTTAGCTCAGTTAGCTCGGTTAGCACAGTTAGCTCAGTTAGCACAGTTAGCTCAGTTAGCACAGTTAGCTCAGTTAGCACAGTTAGCACAGTTAGCTCAGTTAGCTCAGTTAGCTCGGTTAGCACAGTTAGCTCAGTTAGCTTGTGTTGCTGCTGTTGCTTTAAATTTTTCCTGTCAGTTTAATTTGTCACAATCAGCGTGTCTAAATTACATTTATACGCATTCATCGAAACACCAACTGTTTGAGAGTCGATGTTAAGCGTTAGAATATGATTAATAATGTCAAATCTTAATCCTGTGCTCTTTTTCAGCCTCTTTAAACTTCTTGAAGTTATGCAAAATCAAATATTACAACTACTGCCTCATCCACAATGTGCAGGTAAAACTTAATGTTGCACCGCTGACAGCTTCTTATTTAACACTCATGGCAAATAATACTTGTTTATTCTAACACTAAATTGATCCAACTCCGTTACTTCACCAGAGGAATGTGGTCATTGATAATTCCAACATTTGACTTTACGTTAAAGTACAGATTATTGTAGATTAAGGCAGGTGGACTGTTCCAGCTCGTCCTATTTGTGACTAATTATGGGACTGCAGTATGTTGGTTTTATTTGGTACAGTCAATTGAAGTTTCCAGGACTTGAGGAGACAGGTTTATGTAGATCTAGAAGCTGAAGAACAACTCTTCCTGAGCTGCCTTGTTTCTTGCTGATGTTGCGGCGGACACACTTGTATATATTTCACATTAGAGCGTGCTCTTATTGTGAAAGGGACAGAATATAAACGGGCGGCTCAACGGTTGTAATTAATTTGTTTTTTCTGAGCTTGATGTTGGAAGACGTGGAAAATAAATTTGAGACTCAAAATATTTTTCGTCTCTTTCTGCCGACTTCCACATTGGTGACCCCCAACATCTGAACATGTTTTCGAACGAGAACTCTCCAGATGTTGAAGCTGCTTCTCTATCAGCCGTGTTTTCAGACCAAGTTCTTTGCTGGGCAGACGTTGCTCCAACCGCCGTGGCCTCGTCTCCTGCCGCCGCTTCATCTGCTGTGTTTGTGGCCGTTGTTAAGCTTCCAGAGTTCTGGCAACGCGATCCGGAACCATGGTTCCAGCATGTGGAAGCCCAGTTTCATCTCCGTGGGATAACCACAGACGAGACCAAGTACTTTCACGTCGTTGCTGCTTTGGATTCTGGTTCCACCCGCCGTCTGATGGGTCTGCTGCAGGACCCACCAAGCACTAACAAATATAGTACGCTCAAGGAGAACCTGCTGCGGCTTTACCAACTGTCAGATGTTGAGCGGGCTGACAGTTTGTTGTCCCTGAGTGGCTTGGGGGATCGCAAGCCCTCCGAGCTGATGGAGAACATGCTGGCGTTACTTGGCTCAGGGGATGCTTCCTTCCTTTTTACGCACCTGTTTCTTCGCCAGCTTCTTCCACCTGTTCGCACCGCGCTGGCTAGCTCCCCGCTGATCTGAACAAAGGATTATCGCTCCCTAGCTGAAGAAGCAGACCGACTTTTGTTAGCTTCCAGGCACTACAGTGTGCAGGCACTTTTACCAGGTGTGACTGAAAGGGAGGCGGAGGCTGTTGATGCTCTGGCTGCAGTGACGGAACGGCGGAAGGACGACGTGCTTTGCTTCTACCACCGCCAGTTTGGAGTAAAAGCGAAGCGCTGCATTCCTCCGTGTTCATTTCATGCATCAGAGAAACGAAAGGGCCGGCACTCGCTAGCAGCTGTGTATGCTGGCAGCTCAGATGAGCTGCTTTTCATCATGGACGAGATTTCTGGACGGTGTTTCCTGGTGGACTCGGGTGCACAGCGGAGCATTATGCCAGCTTCATCTACAGATGCCTTGTGTCAAACAACGGACCCCCGCTGGATGTGGCTAATGGCACCCCCATTCAAACTTTTTTGGATAGAGGTCGGTGACTGTGTGTTTCAACGGACGTCAGTTCGAGTGGGACAGACAGAAGCTATTAAGCTATTAAGATTCTGTGTCTGTGCCTATTTTGGGCGCTGATTTTTTATGTGCTTTCAAGTTATTAGTGCATGTTGTTAATAGCTGCTTAATCGATGTTGTCTTTTGATACCTACCCCTGTAAACTTGGAGGTCCTGCCCATCAACCTCTTGCTAACATGCTTGCCACAGGTGATGAGTATCAGCGTTTGTTGTCAGTTTCCTGCTTTGACAGTTCCCACCTTTTTTTCTACCATAGCTAAACATGGGGTGGAACATTGTATCACTACAGCTGGTTCACTGGTTTTTGCATGAGCATGCCACCTAGATACCACTAAGTTAGCAGTAGCTAAGGAGGAGTTTGTTAACATGGAGCATCTTGGCATTGTGAGACGTTCCAAAAGTCCATGGACATCCCCCTTGCACATGGTACCAAAGGCTGATGGGGGTTGGCGACCCTGTTTGGATTTTCGGCGCCTTAACAACGCAACCATTAACGACAGGTACCCAGTCCCTCACATTCAGGATTTTTCTGCCCGCCTGGCAGGGGCGATTGTTTTTTCCAAGGTAGATTTGGTGCGCGACTACCATCAGGTTCCTGTGCATCCCTTAGATGTACCAAAAACTGCAGTTATCACACCTTTTGGTCTTTTTAAGTTTTTACGGATGCCCTTCGGCCTTAAAGGCGCAGTGCAGACGTTCCAGCGACTTATGGATTTGGTCCTGCAGGGTATGCCATTCTTGTTTGTCTATTTGGATGATATATTGGTGGCCTCTCCCTCGGTGGCAGAACACATGGTGCACCTTCGCCAGCTGTTTGTTCGGCTCAGTGAGCACGGCCTGATCGTTAGCCCAGCTAAATGCCAGTTTGGTCTGCCCGCTGTTGAGTTCCTGGGACACAGAGTGTTTGTTCAAGGGGCGGTTCCCCTACCTACCAAGGTTGAAGCTGTTTTCGTATATATATATATATATATATATATATATATATATATACACACATATATATATATATATATATATATATATATGTGAGTCAGAGTCAGAGTTTCTTTATTGTCATTCGCACCTCATGTGGTACATGTGGTGGAGACAAATTATGTACACGGGGTCCCAGTTACATCCAACAATAAAATGTATAAGAAAAACAGTAATAACATCTAAGATATGAACTAAGAAAAACATCAACTAAATATACACTAAGCACTCATAACATAAAACATTGAACATCAGCACAAACATGAACATGAGTCTGTGAGCAGATGTGCATGCATGAACACATCAACATTGAAACAGATCAGCAGCAACATGATGTGATTTTTCACAGTGATTATTCTAGTTAGAGATTCATGAGTCTTAACAGCCTCAGGGTAGAAGCTGTTCCTCAGTCTAGTGGTTCTACACTTAATGCTCCTCAACCTCCTTCCTGAGGGGAGTGGGGCAAAAAGTGTGTGTGCTGGGTGGGTGGGGTCCTTCATGATGCAGGTGGCCCTCTTCCTGCATCTGGAGGTGTAGATGTCTGTGATGGTGGGGAGGCTGACTCCAACATCTTCTGTGCAGCCTTCACCACTCTCTGCAAAGCTTTTCTTTCTGCAGCTGTGCAGCCTCCATGCCACACATTGATGCTCGAGCACAGGATGCTCTCCACTGCACACCTGTAGAAGGAGGTGAGGACTGAGCTTCCAGACCAGCTCG